AACTCGCTCTCATAGTTGAGCGCACCTTTGACTTTCAGCACCATCTTCTGAAGCTCATCGTTGAACATGAGACCTGCCAGCGCCACTGGACGCTGGGCCGCCCGCGTGACTAGATCATCCGCTGCACAGTCCCTCGCCGCCGTCAGTCTCACCTGCACGGTCTCGATGGCAGTCGCCGTCTGGACAGGAGTGTCGTCGACGATGCCCTCTGGTAGTCCCACGCGTCGGGGCGGAGACGGGCCCAGCTCGATCAGGAGGCACCTCTGGGTCGCAGTACCCTTGGCCTGGCCCGTCTCCACCAGCACATCCACGAAGGAGGAGCCCTCCAGGACACGCTGCATATTAAAGATGATGATGGTGGCTGACCGCTCGGCACCTCCAAGCGCATCCAACCACCGTCTCGTAGCAAGATACTCCTTCTCATTCTGGCATACGATGGGAGGATGCTTCTCGTAGTTGCAGTCCTGCAGGCGTTTGGCAGACCAAACAGGGCAGTCCTGTCCCCACTGACTCTTGACGACCTTGATCTCCTTCTGCTGGTTCTGCTGCTGCTGCTGTTGCTGCTGCTGCTTGGTGGGCGTTCCGCCTGCAGCAATCGCAGCAGCTGAAGTGGTACTGGGAGAGCGGTTCAGCAACTGGAGTAGTCGCCCTCGAACCTGCATCTCCGTGGGTCGGTAGCCCGACACGTCAACCTTCTTGAGTAGTCGTCGAACGTCTTGCAGTAGTCGTGGCTCCTGGAAAGCCTTGGGTTTCTTCTGGCGTCTGGTCTGGAAGCTCGTTCGACACCAGCGAGTGGGGGCGACCTCATTGGTCAAGCTGGTGTGCATGGGAAGTCCAGAGGCCATTGCAGTGCTGCAGCAGCGCCTCGCTGGCTCCCAGAGGCGCGACGGCGGCAAGAGCTCGGCTTCCTGGAGAGCATGGGCCAAGGAGGCCGTGCAGAAGGGCGGCAGGCTCGCCCGCAGGTTTGCCAAGGCTGCGCCGCCCCCGCAGGTGGTGGACCCTGACACTGGCAGGCCTCTGTCAGGCATGCTGGCAGTCGGGCAGCCAGAGGCCAACTGGCAAGCCTTGTGGCAGCAGGAAGGCTCCAGGGCTGGAGCTGGAGTCGGGAGCTGGGACGTCCGAGGCTGGACGCTGCCGCCCCTCAGCCTGGAAATGCTGCAGGCAGTGTGCAGGCGCTACTCGCCGACGGCGGGCCTTGGCGCCGACCAGCTCCACCCGCGGCAGCTGCTGCTGCTCCCAGTGGCCCTGCAGTTGCGCTGCCTGGACCTCCTGGCGGCCTACGAGGAGCAACCCCAGGCCCTGGGCGCCCAGGCCACCATGATGGTCTTCATTCCCAAGTCGGACGGAGGAGTTCGACCGATCGCACTGATCCCGCTGCTCATGCGCATCTGGAGCCGCCTGAGGCAGCCGATCTGTGCACTGGGAGGCGGAGAACGACTACCGCTTCTTCTGGGGCAGGGCCGACCGCGGGTGCGAGAAGGCTGGGTGGATGCACAACGCATATGCCGCCTTTGCGCGGGAGAGTGGGTTTGCTTCCGCCAGACTCTTTTTGGACATCACCAAGTTCTACGAGAACCTGCGGCACGACGTCCTGTGGCAGTGTGGGATCGAGCATGGCTTCAACCTGAAGCTGCTGCGAGGTCTGCTCGTGCTCTACCAGAGCCCGCGGTTCATTTGCTTCGTGGGCCTGGCCACCGAGTCGTTCTGCACGAACGGGGCAGTGTTGGCGGGGTGTGCGTGTGCCACCACCGTGGCCAATCTGCCTGTGCTTGCAGCCCTCCGTGCTGCCTCTGCGGGCGGCAGGCCACTGGCGGTCGCTCGCAACGTCGTCGGCGACATCGCGCTGCAGGCCGTGGGCACTGAGCGGCTGGTCGCCGCACAGCTTGGCAGCGCTGGGGTGGAGGTGGCTCGCCTCCTCCGAGGCCAGCATCTGCCCCTCAGTGCTGCCAAGACCACCTTTCTCGCCTCCAGCCCCAGCCTTGGACGCCAGCTCGGCGAGTACTGGAAGTCGCAGGGCTGGACCTTTCGTAAGACCTTGCAGGCCAGGAACCTCGGCACGGACGCCGCCATCACGAGGCGAGGAGTGCATGGGGGCCGAGTGCGAGCCGCTGGAGCACTACGCCGAGCGCGCAGGCTGGGCTGCCTTCGAGCCGCTGGAGTAGAGGTGGACCTGATCCATAAGGCTGGGCCCACGGCCAGCATGGCGTTGGGCCGCGCGGTCACAGGCATCGCGGACGGCGAGCTGCACAGCTGGAGGCTCGCGGCGTGCCGCAGCGCAGGAGCGCTCCCCATGGGCGCTGCGCTAGGGCTACGCATACGCTGCGCCGAGCTCAGGAGGAGGCGTGGCCTGGATCCTGCGGCTCTCACGGCCGGCCACGCAGTCCAGATGCTGGCGGGCCTGCTGCAGTCAGGCGAGCTGCCGCTCAGGATGATGGCGCGGGGGCTAGAGGCGGCGGCGACGAGGCGCGCTAGTGCCGACACGCCGTGGAAGCACTGCGCCTCCCCCATCGATGCGGTGGTCCTGACCCTCGCGCGGATCGGCTGGCACTTCAAGTCCGAGCGGTTCTTGGTCACGGACCTCGGCGACGAGCTCGACCTCATGCTCCTCGGGCCTCGGGAGTTGGGCTTGCAGGCTGGCCTCGGTGCCCGGCGTGCCTCGGATCGCCGCGAGATGCGGAAGCTCAGCCATGACCCCCTCTTGCAGCGGCCGCTGCACCGGGACGCCATCGGACGGTTGCTCGGGCCAGACAGCGAGCTGAGCGTAAGGGAGCAGAACGCGCTCGGCGCCTACATCTCCAACACGCACTGGGCGCAGGCCAGGCTCTTTGATGCTGGGGAACGGGGACATGCGCGTTGCTGCTGCTGCGGGGCTGAGCGAGGCACCTTGTGGCACCGCTTGTTCGAATGCCCCGTGCTGGAGCCCCAGCGGCGTGACGGGGTGTCTGCACGGCTGAAGCGGTGTGCGGAGCGGGCGCGGGCCCTTGGCGAGTGCTCAGGCGAGAACTTTGCCCGCTTCTGGCTGCCCGCTCCAGAGCCGCCGCAGGGTCGCCGCGCGGACGCCATGAGGGCGCAGTGGATCCACAGGCCAGCCGATGAGAAGCTCAACGGCAAGCTGCACCTCGATGGCTCGGCGCTCGAGCCGCAGTTCGGGGCCTTGCGCCGTGCGGGCTGGGCCATTGCGCGGTGCGACGACGACGGCAACCTGGTCGCAGGAGTGCACGGCACCGTCAGGCGAGACCTCTGCCCGCAGCAGACGGCCAAGGACGGCGAGGACCTCGCTGTTTGGATGCTCGCCAACTTTGCGGGGCCAGCGGTGGAGGAGGTCAACATCGACTGCAGCACCGCAGTGACCTACCTGCGGAGAGGGCGTGCGTACGCCACGGCGCCCAGCAGGGCCAACGCCCACCTGTGGAGCAGGATCCTGGCAGCCTTCGAGCCCGGCACTTTCGAGGTGAAGAAGGTGCCAGCCCACTGTTCGAGGCAGGCAGTGCTCGACGGGCTCCTGACGGAGGCCCAGAGGCGCGGCAGCGAGCACGCAGACCGCCTCGCCTAGATGGGGGCCCAGACGCATGCAGTGGACAGGCAGACGGTTGGCGAGCACCACGCGCTGGCGGAGATTGTGCGGGAGCTTGGACGCTGGATCTGTCGGGCCGCCATCATCTGGCAAGGCATCGCGGTCAAGGATTGCGAAGGGCTCCCTCCTGCTGCTGCGCGGCGCCAGGTGCGCTTTGCGGCCGCCGAGGCGTCCCAGGCGGCTGAGGAGGCCGCTGGTGCTGGGCCTCTGGCCAAGCGGCCGCGCCTGGAGAGCGCCCGCTCGACTGGCAGCAGCTCGGCCGCCCTCTCGGCCAGCGCCGCCGCCTTCAGCATCCTCGGGCACGCCTTGTCCTACGCCTGTGCTGGAGAAGGCGAGGACACCCAGGAGATCGTGGCCTGCTCCAAGTGCGGCGCCTACATGGTGCTGGGCGGCCGCTCAGGGGTGAAGCCTCGCCTCAAGGAGCGGTGCCCAGGCGACAAGGCTGACAAGTCAGGCAGGAACCAGCGCAGCCTGTGGCTACGGGGACTCCATCCAGGAGGCAGGCCACGAGCTGCCAGGCAGAGAGTGAAGGGAGAGGGCATCCCCGCGTTACGGTCGCAAGGCAGGGCATGCCCAGGAACGGTGCCTGGAGTGGCTCGGCATCGCAGCGGAGCCGGCCGTCGGCGCCTCGTCCGCTGCGAGCAGTGCGGGCAGCGCTCCAGCAGCTCCCGCGGCGCCTGAGGCGGCTTCGGGGAGCCTGGGCGAAGCCCCTGCGCTTGCGCCCGCTGCAGCGGCCGCCGCCAGCCTGCCTCTGCAGCGGCCAGCTGCAACGAGAGCTGGGCTCCTCGGCGCGTTCGGGATCACCGAGGAGGAGCTCTCCGCCGCGGCCAGCGCAGCGGTCGACGCCCTGGCGGACCGCAGGGTGCGCCGCCGTCTGGCGCGCCGTGGCGATCAGTCCGAGAGTGAGTGACAGATAAGCATCGGTGAGGCTCACGCTTGCTGCTCCTTGTAGTGAGTAGGCTTCCGTGGCCCTCGATGCTCGCTTGGGACTCGGCCTCTCTCGGGAACGCGGGTCCCGTCTGGCCCTGTCCGTGTTTTGTTATGGCCATTCCTCTTGCTTTGAAGGCCCCGTCTTTAGCTTTAACGTTAACTTTAACCACACTGGGGCACATCCGTAGCCATTTTGGCTCAAGGCCATGGGGCACCCGACGACCGCGAGTCGTCCGCGGCGCTTTGAGCGCGAGGGTCTCCGCGCTTTGGGCCAGTTCACTCCTGCTTTGTGCTCCCTGTCTTCGCGGCGCGGGGGCGCGGGCCGTCAGCCTGCGCAGCCTTGGCCATGGCGCGCTCCTCGCGAGGCGGCAGCTGTGGCAAGCGCAGCAGGCCATACTGGATGTGCAGCTGCGGTGGTTGGAACTGGGACTGGCGCTCCACGTGTCTCAGCTGTGGGCATGCCGCACCGCCCTGGGCGCTGGAATCACCCCCCGCCATGGCGAAGCCCAAGGCCGACAAGGACGGCTGGGTGGACCAGCCACGCGGGCGCCGAGCTCAGCGGCAGGCCCGCAGTGCAGCCTCGCGTGCGGCATCCACCAAGTCGCAGACCTCGGCTTCAGCGGCGAGCGGGGCGCCCAGCGGCGGTGGCATCACGGCGATCGAGAGGCTGCAGGCGACGGTCGAGCAGCTGGAGGCGCTGCAGGCGGGGCCGCCCGACGGCGTCGACAGCTGCTTCACCGACGTCGCGGCCAACCAGCTGGAGGCGAAGCGGGCAGAGTTGGCCAGGGCCCAGCGGGAGGCAGCGGAGCAGAAGGCCTCCACCATGCGGCGGTCGACTCTGCTGCACAAGGAGGCAAACGCCATCAGCAAGGCGGAGAAGCGGCTCCGCTCGGCCCGCCAGGTCCTTGAGCAGAAGCAGGCTGCGCGGGACCTCGCGGAGGTCCAGCTCCAGAAGGCCCAGGAGGAGCTCGCGGCGCTCGACGGCGAGGTGGAGGAGGCCAGCAGGGCGCTCCAGGTCCTCGAGGAAGCAGCCCGTGAGGAGGCAGAGGCGCGGCAGCGCCAGCGCGCAGCCGAGTGGGCTGGGGCCAGCCAGGTACCAGGGCTCCTCACGCAGCTGGACAAGCTGCCAGAAGCTTCGGGCTCCAGCAACTTCGAGGTGGCATGGGCAGCCATTCGCGCCCAGATGGAGGCGGTGCGGGCGCAGCTCGCAGGGCCCCCGTCGGCCCCCAAGCGAGCGCCGTGGGCTGAGTCCTGCCCCATGGACGAGACCAGCAGCGACGATGGCGATCTCGCAGGCAGCAGCGGCCCCTGGCAGCCGCAGCCCGCCGCGGACCGTGGCCAAGCAGAGCGGCATGGCAGCGCGCATGGCGAGTGGCCGCAGGTGTCCCAGGCATGCTAGCGGGAGCTGGCTGCTGAGGCTGCGGACCTGGCCCCTCTGGCTGCTCGTCCTGCTGGCCGCGTAGTTGGGAGCCGCGACGGAGGATCGCAGCCAGGGCGGACGAGCGCGTAGCGAGGCCAGTGCGGCGGGACCACGCCTGCACGTGTGCAGCAGCGCCGAGGTTGCCCGCTCTGGCAGCAAGCGGCCACACGACCTCGGGAGCGAGCCTGCCCCGCCGGCGCCAGGCCAGGCCACGGCGGCGGCTCAGGGCGTCCGCTGCGGGCTGGAGGTACTTGGGGTATACGGCGACGCCAGGAGGTGGAGCATGGAGGTGATCGAGGCCTCCGTCAGTCGGCACGGAGCCAGGCCCCACCCGGTGCGGCTCCAGGAGGCTTGCGTCGCCCCGCGCCGCCCAGAGGAGGCCAGAGGGGCTACGCGCCGCATGGAGCACGCGGTCTTCCTCCACCCGTTCGCGCCCTCGGACATCGAGGGCCCACTGGTGGAGTCAGGCAGCTTCGCGGCTTTGGTTTGCTGCGCCCTGCGGGCAGCGGAGGTAGCACGGCAGGCCCCGAGCGACCTCAAGCATCGCATGATAGAGGTCACCGTGTCCACCGCATCTGGCCTGGGGCGGCTGGCCTGCTCGCAGATGCGCGGCCTGGACCTCCTGGCAGCCTATGAGGTGCAGCCCCAGCCCCTGGGCGCCCAGGCAGCCATGATGGTCTTCATTCCCATGTCGGATGGAGGAGTTCGACCGATCGCGTTCGTCCCACTGCTCATGCGCAGCTGGAGCAGCCTGAGGCAGCCTATCGGCGCGCTGTGGGAGGTGGAGCGCGACCACTGCTGCCTTGGGGGCAAGGCGGACTGCGAGTACGAGAAGGCAGGTGGACTGCACAACGCATATGCCGCGTTCGCGCGTGAGAGCGGGTGTGCCTCCGCCAGCCTCTGCCTAGGCATCACCAAGCTCTACGTGAACCTGCGGCACGACTTCCTGTGACGGTGTGGAGTCGAGCATGGCTTCGACCAGCGGCTACTTCGAGGTCTGCTCGTGCTCTACCAGAGGCCGCGTATCCTCTGCTTCGTAGGCCTGGCCACCGAGTCGTTCACCCCCAAACCAGGCAGCGCTGGGCTGGAAGTGGCTCGCCTCCTCCGTGATCAGCTTCTTCCCCTCAGTGCGGCCAAGACCACCTTCCTCGCCTCGAGCCCCAGCGGTGTGCGGCAGCTTGGCGAGTACTGGAAGACGCAGGGCTGGACTTTCTGCAAGACCGCGCAGGTCAGGAACCTCAGCACGGGTGCCACCATCGCGAGGCAGGGGGTGCATGAGGGCCGAGTACGAGCTCCTGGAGCCCTACACCGTGCGCGCAGGCTGGGCTGCCTCCGCGCCGCCGCGGGAGTGGAGCTGGACCTGATCCACAAGGCGGGGCCCGCGGCCTGCATGGGGTGGGGCCGCACGGTCATGGGCATCGCGGACAGAGTGCTTCACAGCTGGAGGCCTGCTGCAGGCCGCAGCGCAAGGACGCTCCACCTTGGCGCGGCGCTGGGGCTGTGCATGAGCGGCGCCGAGCGGAGGCGCAGGCGTGACCTCGATCCAGCGGTCTTCTCGGCCAGCAACGCGGTCCAGATGCTGGCGGGCCAGAGGCAGTCAGGCGAGCTGCCGCTCAGAATGGTGGCTCGGGGGCTGGAGGAGGCTGCAACAAGGGGCGCTAGTGCCGCCACTTGGAAGCGCCGTGCCTCGCCCATCGACGCAGTGGCGTGGACCCTGGCGCAGATCGATTGGCACTCCAAGTCGGAGCGGTGCCTGGTCGCGGATCGAGGCGACGAGCTCGATCCCATGCTCCTCGAGCTTCGAGAGGACACAGATGCTGGCCTCGGAGCTCGGCAGGCCTCCGACCGCCATGAGATGCAGAAGCTCAGCCGCGACCCCCCCATGCAGCGGCCGCCCTGCTCCAAGCGCGGCGAGTGCATGGTGCGGGGCGCTTGCTCAGGAGTGAAGCCTCGCCTGAAGGCGCGGAGCCCAGGCAGCAGGACCGACAAGTCTGGCAGGAACCTGCGCAGCCTGCGGGAGAAGGGGCCCCATCTTGGGGGCTGGCCGAGAGCGGGCAAGCAGAGAGTGAAGGGAGAAGGCATCCCTGCACTGCGCGCTCGAGGGCAAGTGCCAGGACACGCCCAGGAGCGCTGCCTGGAGTGGCTCGGCATCGAGGTGGTGCCAGCAGGAGGGCGAGAACAGGGCTCTTCGGCGCGCATGAGTTCAGCGAGGAGCGGCACGCCGCCGCGGCCAAACGGCGGGCGGGGCGCCCGTGAGCCGCTGGGAGCGCCGCCGTCTGGCGTATTGCGGCCGCCGTCCGAGAGCGAGTGATAGTTAGCATCGTCGAGGCTCGCGCTGTTGCTCCCTGTGGTGAGTAGGCCCGCGTGGCCCTCAGTGCTCTCTGAGGTTCGGCTTCCCTCGGGAACTCACTCTGTCCCGTCTGGCCCTGCCCGTTTTTGTTTTGCACGCCCCAACGCCTTCAAGGCCCCGTCTTTAACCTTTAACCTTTCACCGCGCAGGGGCACGGCTGACCACGCAGGAGCACGCAGCAGCACGGCAGATTACGGTTGGACGTCGTTCGCACCCAGGGTGTTGTTGCGACATATTTTCCGTAGCGCTGTTTTGGCCCCGTTGCGTTTCGCGCTTGCAATGAAGGCGCCCGCGCGGCGATGAGTGATGGGCTGTGGCCGTGTCCGTTGCGCGGTCGGCCGTCGTGCGATTGCGGAAAAATTTGCGGGGCGCGCGCGCCGGGGGCGCCTCTGCAGACGGGCTCCAGGGCTACTCCAGGGCTGCAGCAGGCAGTCGATGAGCGGGTTCGTGGTCTCGGACATTCGCGCGAGCCACCCAGACGTTGAGTAGGCGGTGTCGGTGGCGCTGGCGGCCGAGAGTCAGCATCGTCAGTGCCGTTTGTTTCGTTGAGCGACGTTCGCGCGGTACCTTTCGGCGCTTCGACCATGGACGTTGTCGCCGACGGTGCCGGCAACTGGCTTGCCGAGCTCGACGGCAGAACCGTTTCTGCTGCACTGGCTGGCGCCGCCCGCGCGCCCCTCGCTGGTGACGGGCCGCCAGGGCGCGCGGAGGGGACTGGCGCGGGCGCCGTGAGCAGCGCGCGTCAGGGCGGTGCGGGGATGCAGTTGGGAACCCATGTCTCTCGTCTTCGTTTCGTCGTCGTTTCTCCTTCGTTTCCGCTCTCGTTTTCGCTTTCGTTCTCGCCATCGTTTCGTCTTCGCTTGTCTTTGTGTCCGCCCTCATTTCCGATTTTCGCCTCGCCTTCGTTTCGTTTTCTTATCATGTCGTTTCCGTTCTCGTTTTCGCCATCGTTCTCGCGTTCGTTTCGCATCGATTCGTGCTCGTGTCTGGCTCGTTTTCGCCTGCGTTTCGTCTTCTTTTGGTCATCGTTTCCGTTTTCGTTCCGCCTTCGTTTTCGCTTTCGTTCCGCCCAGTTCCGCCCGGGCCAAGTGCGTTTTGGCCCCCCGAGACCCTAGGTCTCGGCAGACCGCCCGCGTCTTCCCAAACCAACTTGGCCTTCCCAGGCCAAGCCGCCAAGTTTTCCCAGACCAACCAGGTCTTCTCGAACCGCGACCCTGGGTCTCCCCAAACTATTCGAACCAACCGCGCATTCCCAAGCCGCAACCCCGTTTCTTCCCAAACCAACCGGGCCTTCCCAAACCACAGGGGCCCTCCAAAACCACGGCGGCTGGATCTTCCCAAACCAACCGTGTTTTCCCAAACCAATTGTTTCTTCCCAAACCACAGCCACGCGCCTTCCCAAACCAGCCGGGTCTTCCCAAACCAAACGACCAGTTCGCCCAAAACCAACCGGGTCTTCCCAAACCAGACGGGTTTTCCCAAACCAAATGGGTCATCCCGGATCATCCCAAACCAACTGGGCTATCCCAAACCAACCGGTTCTCCCCAAACCGAATGGGCGGGTTTCCCTAAGCCAACCGGGGTCCCCCCAAGCCAGACGGGTCTTCCCCAACCAGCCGGGTCTTCCCAAACCAAACCGGGTTTTCTTCGACCGAAGCCCCGGGTTTTCCCAAACCATCCGGGTCATCCCAAACCAGGCGGGTCTTCCCAAACCAATCGGGTCATCCCAAACCGAAGCCCCGGGTCTTCCCACACCATTTGGGTCTTCCCAAACCGACCAGGTCTTCCCAAACCGAAGCAGGTCTTTCCAAACCAAGGCCCGGGCCATCCAAACCAAATTTTGGTTTGGGAAGACCCGTTTGGTTTGGGACAATCGAGAAAAAAGGGGACCTCTCGAAACTCCCCCCCCCCTTTCGCGGGCCTTTTGTTTGCCGGGGGGGTCCCAGCCAAAGGGGGGGGGGGCTCGGAGCCCCCCCCCCCCCCCTCGTCGGGGCCCGGGGCTCGCCTGGGCTCCCGTTTCCAGGAGGAGGGGGGCTTCCAAAGCCCCCTCCCTTTCCCTTTCGTCTGGATTTTGTAGCTGGGAGTTCCTGGCTACATGGGGAGGGGGTTTGGAAGCTACCGCCCCCCCTTCCCTTTCGGGGTTCGGCGACACTTTGGTTTGGGGCACCCTTTTGGTTTTAGGCGCTCTTTGGTTTTCGGCGCCCTTTTGGTGTTCGGCGTTCTTTTGGTCTTCGGTGCCCTTTTGGTTCGGTGCTCCTGTGGCTTTCGACACTCTTTGTTGTTATTTTCAGTGCCATTTTGGTGTTTGGCGACCCTTTGGTTGCCGGCTCTCTTTTTGTTTTCGGCGCCCCTTTAGTTTTCGGCTCCCTTTGGTTTCGGCGCCCCTTTGGTTTTCGGCATTCCTGTGGTTTCCAGTGCTCCTTTGGTTTTCGGCGCATCTTTGCTTTTCGGCGCTGTTTTGGTTTCGGGCGTTTCTTTTGTTTTCGGCTTCCTCTGGTTTTCGCGCCCTTTCGGTTTTCGGTGGCTCTTTGGTTTTCGGCGCTTTGTTGGTTTTCGGCGCTGTTTTGGTCTTTGCCGGTCGTTCCTTTGGCCAAGGGGGGGGCCTTCAAGAGCCCCCCCCTCTTTAGCCCAAATGGGGTGTAAGGGGGGGGGGGCTTCCGGCAAGGCGGGTTCAAAGGGTGGGAGATAGCTGAGCCCCACCCCCCCCTTTGGAAAGGGAGGGGGTGGGGGGGTGGGAGCTTCCGCAGCGCGAAAACGGGGAGTGCGGGTAGTTTCTGAGATGTGCAGCAAAAGGAGGGGGGGGAGCGGGGGCTTCTGGCAGGGGAGGTCCAAGGGGGGTGGGGTAGCTAAGAGGGGGCACCCCCCGTTGGGAGTGCGACACGGGCGCGCTCTCTCAGAGGTCTTACCAGTAGAGGCCCACCCACCCCCCTCTCCTCCGTTTCTCCAGCTTGCAGAGGCGTGTGTGAACGTGCTCGAGAGATGCGCATCCAGAGAAGCCAGCGACGCTCGCAGCGTTGGACGCCGGCCGAGGTGACGACGCTCATGGTCCGCAACATACCCAACATGTACACGCGGAGCATGCTCGTCGAGGAGCTGCGCGCGGGACTGCCTCGCTGGCGGAGGAGGACGAGGAAGTGTGGATAGGGGCCATGAAATTGGGGAGGAGAAGGATGAAGAGTAACAGTGTGACAATCATACAGGAGGAGGGGGAGGAGGAGGAGCAACGAAAAGAGGAGGAGGAGGAGGAGAGGGATGAACCGGAGGAGTAGTCTGAGGAGGAGGAGGAAGAGGAGGAGGAGGGGGAGGAGTAAGAAGGGAACAGCAACCGCCACAAAGAATTGAAAAAAACAACGGCACAGGAGATGGACAGCTTGGGCTTCGAAGGCGAGTACGACTTTATTTACCTGCCGATCGACAAGAGCACTCAGTGGAATGTCGGGCACGCTCTTCACTCCACCCCGTCCATGTCCTCTACCTCGCTACCACCTTCCCCCTTTCCTCCTCTCCCTGCCCCCCCCCCTTTCCGTCGCATCACCTCGCCTCGCCCCTTTTTTTTGTGGTGTCGCAGGAAGTGGAAGTTTTGTTCATAATAGTTTTTGCGGGGTAATGTCCACGGCGGTGTATTTGTTTGCTTGATGTCGAATAGTGCGAGTGTTTTGACACTTCGAGCTTTATCGCGCCCAGCAGGTACGCATTTGTTAACTTCAAGACGTCAGACGCGGCCAAGCGGTGCGTCACGGTGGCCGTGCACATGTTTTTGTTGCAATGCCCATCTTGTTTCTGCTCTCTTGCCTCCTAGAATCGGTGGTACTACGTGGATTGATTCGATATTGAATGGCCTCCGGCCAGTGCCGCCGATCCGAGGCGCTCCACGACGACGGCGACGACGACGACGATGATGACCTCGACGCTGACAACGGACGACTTACGACTAACGGGAGGAGGTAGGCGGGAGGCGGGAGGCGGGAGGCGGGAGGCGGGAGGCGGGAGGCGGGAGGCGGGGGAGGGAGGAAGGAGGAGTGAGTAGGGAGGAGGGAGGATGGAGGATGGGGAGGATGGGGAGGAGGCGGACGAGGAGGAGGAGGACGAGGAGGAGGAGGAGCAGTAGGAAGAGGAGGGAGGAGGGAGGAGGAGGATGAGGACGAGGATGAGGACGATGATGATGATGATGATGATGATGATGATAGTGATGATGATGATGCTGATGCTGATGCTGATGATGATGCTGATGATGATGTTGGTGGTGGTGTTGCTTATGATGATGATGATGATGATGATGATGATGATGATGATGATGATGATGATGATGATGATGATGATGATGATGATGATGGTTGTGGTGGTGGTGGTGGTGGCGGTGGTGGTGGTGGTGGTGGTGGTGGTGCGGAGGAGGAGGAGGAGCAAGGAATAATCCGTAGCCATTTTGGCTCAAGGCTAAACGGAGGACGCTAACGTAACATAGCTGACTCTGATTAGCTTTGGCCCGTCCGTCGTTCTCTGTCGAGCGATTCGGGTACACTCACGATCCTGCTGTGTGCGAGTCTGCCGCAGCAGTCCCTCTTTGCTAACGTTTCCTTCACGACGCCGTCTTGGCCCCTCTTCCCGCCCGCGAGAGCTCCCATTGGGAGCCAGCCGATGCCACCGCCGGCCCGCGATGCGCGAGGTTGCCTGTCTGCCTCGGCGCACTCCTCGCGGCCTGGCGGCGCTGGACCCGCTGCCCGTGGACATCAGGTGCGGGAGGCGTCCCGCGGGGAAGGTTCTCCCCGCTCGCGCTCGGGGGGAGCCGCGGCCGCTGAGGAAGAGAGGCAGCGACAGGCTGGGCATGGCCGCCGTTCTCCTGCTAGTGCTCGCTCTGCGGACCCTCTGCAAGGCGCTGCAGATCCATGGAGCAACGACGCTGCCGCCAGTGCTGGCCCACCCGCTCCCAAGCGGCCACATGTGCAGCAAGAGGCCAGTGACGGATCCTCCTCTTCGCTTTCGAGGGGAGACATCGACGAGCTGCTGGCGGCCTTCAAGTCGGATGTGGAGAGATCCATCAACGCACGCATGGGCGAGACCAAGCGAAGCATCATCGCAGAAGTCAATGGTCACACTGCAAACTTGGTCAAAGCCGTCGGTGATCGACAAGAGGCCACAAATGTACAAGTACGCTCAGAGCTGGACGAGCTCCGCCAGCGCCAGAACTCCTTCGAGGCAGAGCAGTCACAGGTCAAAGCTGAAGTGGAGCAACTCCGACGTGAGTTGCACATCGCGGAGGCCACAATCCCCATCAAGGACTTCGGCAGCGCGCTGGAGTGGGACAGAGACCCCGATGGCACAGTCTTCATTGCGAATACGGAGGCCATGGTCACGGGGGACGCCCTCAAGGAACAGCTGGCGCCCTGGTTGCAGGACGCGGGCATGGAGGAGCATCAATGGAAGGTTCTGGGCAACTCGCCTGGTCGAAGATTCACGGTGCAGATGTCTGGGGATGCGAATGCAGGGATGCGCAAAGTCAAACAGGCCCGCCGATTTCTCAGGCAGAACAATGAGTGGAGACAATTCAGCTGCCCGACGGTGGAAGGAGGTCGCTCGCGCATTTTCGTGGGCTTGGACAAAAGTGACAAGATGGTTAGACGTGAAATTCAAACTAAGAAGTTGGCAGGTCTGGTTCGTGAAACACATGCAGAGCTTCGAGTGCGACATGATCGGACGAAGGGCATTGTGTTTGTGGATGGACAACCAGCCGTGCAGCTCGACATCGGACAGGAAAAAGATGCCCCGACGAAGTTACTTTGGAACTATGCAGCGGTTCGTTCAAAGAATCTGGACAAGGAAACATTGCTGGCGCGCTTCAACGGTATATTTCACACATCAGAGGAAGTGCGGTGGCAGATTTAATATGATTATGCAGCCATGGATTGAGGACCTCTCGCAGTATGACATTGGGGTTCCCTCTTTTATCACATGGAATGCTCGAGCCCTTCTTCATCATCTTCCTGCGACCAGGAAAAAGAAATGTAGACGATTGGCAACCTTGATGAAGCCTCACACCATGATTGGATTACAAGAAGTACACGGCACAGAAGAGGAGCTGCGACATGAAGTATATCTATCACACAGGAAGGCAGCAGTCTTCGCTTCAATACCTCGGCACAACGCTGGCGGAGTGGCTCTTCTTCTACCTGGCTTCTCTCAGCAGGAAGCGGATGAAGCTGTGGAAGCGGGGCGCCTCAGGCACACGGTGATCGTGCCTGGCTATGTCCAACGCCTCCAAGTGAAGGCGAGGGCATCCCACTCCAATGGCTCCCGCAATCAAGGTAGCATGCTCGTGGTCTACAACATTCACAACTTCGGCCTGGACGAGTCGGTGGCGACGACGCTGATGAGAAGGATTGCTGCGGAGGCTGAAATAGCTGAGGCAAATCCACAGCGCTCCACTGTGCTGCTCATGGGGGACTTCAACTTCCACGAGAGGGCGGCGATGTACCTGGCCACCCCAGAGATTGACAAGGGTGTCATGACGCAGGCGCGCCACAGGGAGAGAGGGAACCTCTGGATGGACGCGCTGGCGGGCCTTGTGGAGCTGGACCCTGAGCAGCCGACGCACTACGTCCATGACGGTGAGCGCCTCACACAGCTGGACAAGTTTTTCACCTCGTCGCCTGGCTGGATGCTCATCAATTGGTGCATCTCGGCCACGGTAATGGACAAGCCCGAGGAGCTCCACAGCCAGGGCATTTCTGACCATGCGCCTGTTCGCGTGACGTTCGCTGTGCGTCCGCAGCGCCCGCCACAGGAGCAGCCGCTCCCGAGGCATGTCTGCAGCTCCCCATCCTTCACCCACTTCCTTTCGCTTCTGATCTCTCACTCCCCTCTCTACTCTCTCCCAACTATAGCTCGGTGGCGTGAATATAAACGTCTGCTCAGGGAGGCCGCTCGAATGTCCAGGGATGCGTTGATCAAACACTCGGCCCCAGAGCTTGACTCGAAACTTCTGATTTACAGATCTGTTGCTAGGGCTGTTAACTATAACGACACTCGTCTTGCTTCGAAGCTGCTGGCCACTGCTCCTGCCGCCGCCGAGCATATCACGCTGGAGGGAGAAGGTCGTGTCGGTCTGAGGTCTGCTGTCGTGTTCCGTCGTCAATACGAAGCCCTCCAGCAACAGCGCGCAGAGCGCAGATTAGCCTCGGCGGAATCGGCGGTGAAAGCTAGTGAGTCACAGAAGGAGCGCAAACGTTTAAGAGCATATATGTACTCGGAGCGCAGGCGTGCCAAACTTTGGGCGCCTGTTCGGAAGTCCCTTCCGCTCCAGGCCCTGGTGGGCCCTGATGGTGCTGTCGTCTCGGATGCGCAGACGATGACATCGGTGTTGCATCAGCACTGGGCCCCTGTGTTCACGTGGAAGCAGGTCCCTGTCCAGCATGTCCGTAGGTACTTAGCGCAGCACGCTGTATCTTTTGACTGGACCGAGGTCAGTGTCCCCACGATCAATCAAATCAGGGAGACTCTGAAGCGAGCGAAGCCCACTGCTCCAGGCCCTGACGGCCTCCCCTATGCAGCATGGCAGCAGCACGAATTATCTGCAGAGATTCTTTACGACCTCCTCCTCTACCTCCAGGCTGGCTTCCCCCCTCCCACTGATATGAATGAAGTGATTCTTATCTTCGCGCCTAAAGGCAAGCGTGAAGACGACAGTCAATGTGTTGCGAGAGAGCCTGCAGCCACAAGACCGCTTGCTCTCAAGAACACGGACATTAAAGTGCTCTCATCGGTCTGTAATTTTCAGTTTAAGAGAATGTTGAGTTCCCAGGCTCAGGAGGACCAAAAGGGCTTCCTAGTCGGCAGAAATTTTTTGGAGAACATCACCCTCCTGGATACCACGTCCAGGATCCTAGGGATGTCCGACGTCGCCAGGGTCCATCACCCCATCCTCTTCCTTGCGGACTTCGGCAATGCCTTCCCCTCTCTGGCTCACAGTTTCCTGTGGGAGGTGTTGACCAGCGTGGGAATGCCATCGGGTCTCCTGGCGTTCTTTCAAGCCACGTACGCCTTCGCCTGTGCAAAAACTCCGATCCTGGGCCAGCTGCTGGCATTTTGTGTGATTAGCTCGGGCGCCATGCAGGGGGATCCTGCCAGTGGATCGCTGTGGGCCTTCTCGATGGACCCCCTCCTGAGAGCCCTCAGGAAGCGCCTCGCCCTCTCGCCTGGTTCGGAGGCGGGAGTGTGTGCGGACGATGTGGGTTTAGCTCTCTCGGAAGTCAAGGCTCTTAGGAGAGTGCATGGTGTTTTTTATGCTGCCGAAGTCCTAGCGGGGCTTCAATTAAAGATACCAAAGTGCTGCATCGTTCCGCTGGAAGCGGAGTTCTCCCCAGGATTGAAGAAGTCAATCGAAGCTCTGCTAGCGATGCATGTCCCGAGCTGGAAAAGCATGCCTGTAGCTGCCATGGCAGAGTACCTTGGGGTATGGATTGGGCCTGCTGCGAACATGGAGATGTGGTCGAGGATGTTTCGGGAGTGGGTGGAGGTGGTTCACGCGATAACAAAGCAGCAGGCCGCTCCCTCGGTCGCCATCCAGCTTTATAACTCTCGTGCTGTCTCCAAGTTCTCCTACCTTTGCCAACTTGCCCCTCTCCCAAAGCATGTGGCGCGATGGGAGTCGTGGGCCCTGCACGAAGTCCTTCACCTCCCCTCCTGCACTTTCCCGCTCCAGGACCTTCTCGCTCTAAGGACTTGGGCCAAGGTTCGCCCTCTGTCG